TTTTCGGGGGCACGTTCCGGTCATCGCGCTATCCGGGTCTCCTGGCTCTCGAATTGTCCGAAATTCGAGAATTTCCGAGGCAGAATCCCCGAGCTGAGTCGACGAAGGAACACGCTCTGTGCCGGGAATAAAATTCAGTTCACCGGCGATCCGCGTTATCGCGTGGCAATTCGTATTCTCACCCCTGTAAATTACGAAGAATTTGCGCGGGCCATTCGCACGCATGCGAGAGAGGTTAGAGACACCGGTTTTATCACTGTGCACGTATGGAAACCGAGCGAACGGGGGGGCGGAGGGGGTGGATGGAAGTTTCTTGCCAATAATGGAAATGGAGAGCGCATTCAAGTAGAGATTGCGCCGTGTGGTAGATTGCTGGGACGTGGTACAAAGCTCGACCAGACGACGGGGATGCTCTTCTCTCCGTTGGTCCGAAGACTTTTTCTTCTCTCAAAGAGAAAAAGCCGGATCCCGGAATAAGGCTTTTGTCAAGGTTATGTCTCGAAACTCGTTCGAGCGAATTTCCCGCTCGCAGACGATGTCCCTCTTGTGCATGCTCCTCCTCTTCTTTCTCTTCCGCTCCCTCTGTTCCTTTTCTTTTCCTCTTCATCTCGATAGAATAGACAAAGCTTCTCTCGGAACGGTATCGACGATACCCGGGGAGTACGTTCCGAAGCCATTGTGTCCGAGATCTCGGGCGCGGATATATTTAGAGGGACACGTGGTCTCTCCATTTTGTTTAGACCCCGCTAACGAGATTTATTACGGCCGCGGTCCTCGGATGTTCCGGATAACAAGACGAATTTCCGACGAAGGAACGACTGGCTAACGGATATATTTTCTATCCGTCGGTTAGGCCACCGGGGAAAAAGAGCCGCGGAATCAGGTTGAGGACACACGGATTTCCAGTCGATTCGTTGCAAAATCCCATTTCCTCCGGAGTGACCATCCCGCTAATCGAGACTCCCGATCACTCTGCACGAGGAACGTACGCGAGGCCAGAGGCTGACAGTAATTCCCCGCGTGTCGTCCCGAGGAATCGGCCGCTGAACTTTCATTCGACCGTGCGATGGACGATAAAGTTAGCTAGGGTCACACGTGACTGATCCTCGAATCGACAGTTTACTGGCTCCCCTTTATTTTTTTCCTTTTGGCCATCCCTCTCTCACTCTCTCCCTCTCTTTAGCTGGCGCTTGCTTCTGCTTCAGCAGAGAGGATAAGAAGGAGACCGGAAGCTGGACCGAGCGGCCGTTTAAATCGTTTCCAGAGCACAAGTAGTAACAGACTGTGTGTGTCGGACACAACGGGCGACTTTCTCGAAGTGGAAAGTCATAGGGTAGCGAAACTCTTCCATTTGCCTGGGAGCCATGGACGGGAACGGGGTGAGAGGGAGACGGAGATGGAGGTTGGGAAGGTGGATCGGGCAAGAATCACGGATTGAAATTTACTCGGAAAGTTTGCCACCGTGGCGCTCCTCGCTTCCGGGCAAAAACCGGAACGGAAGTAAATATGTCACGCTCGATTCGCGCTCGAGTAGCCGGCCAAGAGAGGGTCGTCGAGAGTTCCATTTTTTCTTCTTCCACTTCTTCGCCTTCCTTTTTCATCGGTGAATGCGGAACGCGACGAGTGGCGCCCGTGCATTCTGTCTTCGGAATCGAGCCGCCTGGCAAAGAGAGCGCCATGGCGACTGCCTTCTCTCCTCGTTCTTGCTTACCTTGTCGAGTGTTTAGTCCACGAGGGATTCGAGGGTTCAAGAGGCACGAGAGGTAAAACATTATCGCGTAATAATTCGAAACGGTGCCACTGAAGCAATTCCGCTCCACGCTGCTGTACGGGGTGTCGCAAAACGCGTGGCCGTAATTTCAGGGGCAAATTCGGCTTACTGAAATAAGAGAGAAAATGTCCACGCGAATGTACGTCTAAATTGTTCGCGAATTACAGCTATTGTCGCTAACTGATTACTCTCGGTTCGCGAGTAATCCGAGGATCTTATCTCGCGTGCAATTTCCCAGTCTGCTGTCCAGTTGTCATTTTCGAGTGTATTTAAATCGATTTAAAGCACTCTCTTGGCGGCAACGGCACACGTGGAAAGTTGCTGATACAGTTACGCGATAATTTGATAATTTAACTTTGCGTCGATAAAGGTCTCCGATTTACATGGCGCGTGATACCACTTAAAAGCCCGTATCCGAGCTAAACGCGGCCATTTCGAACAATCTCCGCCAAGATGATTAAAAAATTCGCGCGGCACGAAAATCAATTTTTATAGGATTTGCAAACGAGATCACGTTGACCGCGTGTCACGTATGCTCGCGTGTTTTGAAGCTCCCTATGCACGTATAACAGCGTCGACACGATGATACGTTGCGCTATAATTCGCGCGTTTCCGATGGAAACTGAACGATATCTGCGATAGAACAGCGATCTATGAAATAAAACAAAATGCATCGCGGCCACGATAAAAAGCAATTTGAAAAGCGAATCCGCGTGGCTCATTTCGGTATGTGCATGAAAGATAGCCGGATTTCCGGAAATCGAAATTTCGTTATCTCTTTGTTCGCAAACCGTTGCCCCGGATAGTTCCATTCGGTCTAGTCCGTTTAAATGCTAATTTTATTTAGACATTACACAAACGACCGGGCCCATCGTGTGTTTGCGTTTGCCCTTGTTCAGTCCATGATCGACCACGCGGATAAGAATCCTGCACGTGGCCTAATGGGTAACAAGGGTAATTTTCATACGGTCTCGTCGGAATCAACGCGATTATCGCGATCTACCAAACGATTCCGATCGTTTTTCCAAACGAAAATCGCGGCTTCTTCGAAGTGGAATCTCGAATCTCGTTATTTATCCCTCGTTATTAACCGATACATCGATCCGATTCGAAGTGCCGTAACGCACGGAACGTTTGATCGAAAAACGATTTCCATTCGCGAAACGGGAAACTGTCATGGAAAATTAAGTCCAGAAATCAGCGTGCTCTTCGCCGCGAAACCGGTCAATTTTTAGCGCGAAAATCGCGGCTGTGTGCATAATCCTGCAGTCTGGCCCCATAAGCGACAAAACGTCGACCATTTTCTGCTCGTTAATTAAACGAACGATCAAAAAGTAGCGGATGGAACGAGTGGTTGCTCGTTTCCAGGCCGAATTAGCAATCACTGCGTGCTGATTGCGAGTCGAATCAAATCTGGTTCGAAGCGGAACACGGGCGCGTGCCCTTTCACCCACGACCAGGTGATTTTAATTGCTCCCCGGCGGGAAAAAACCAGAAAGAAGGGGGGAAAAAAGACAGAGAATCGGTACCAAGGGATTTAACGATTCGAAATGCGCGTTTCCGTGGACGAGATTTTGTACCGGCGCGAACTCGTCATCGATCGAGTTGGTCACGTGACGGATTCGTGTTATTTTAATACCATTTACTTTACCATTCACCCGACAACTTGTTTGTTCAACGGGGGACTGGAAAAACAAGGTTCAAATCGAATAAAGACGAACGATACCGAAACGAGTAATATTTCCCGCGAACTAATTTCGCAAAAAAAGAGAAAGAGAGGAGAAAAGGAGAGAAAGAAAACCTACGCGAGTTTACGCAATAAAGACGCAAGGACGAAGGTTCCATTTGTTTCTTCGCTTTCTCGAGAATTTCCATCGATCCTCGATACCCGACGAATCGTCTCGCTTTCATCGCGATAAATCGATCGATTTATTCCGGTCGGTCGGCGATGCGTCGCGACGGCGAGCAAAAATTACGAGCCGTCGATAGGATTATTCGGGAACACGGGTTCGATGGGACACAAAATATCAGACGTAAGGTTCAGCGGGGTCGAATTCAATGTATCGTGTTATCCGTTAATCGGGTTTTAGCCCGCGTCAGCTGCATTTTATGTTTCACAGAGACGAAAAAAGTGCATGGAAAGACGAGGGAAAAAGAGTATCCCGATCTTCATCGACCGTTCGTCGCTCGGACACACCACGTCGTTTCCTTCCACGGGCAATCGGGTCCGAATTTTCCGCGAGTGGTTTCCAGATCAGTCTCCATCCCCCCGAAAGAGCTCCTACGTCTCTATTATACGATATATGCACATTCGAAATTTCCTCGAAGAGATCATCGAGGCTCCTTAAGTTCTCGATATCCATCATCGGAATCCGCAGACTCGCGCAGCTCCTACGACTATGGCCGCGAATGAGGAGAAAGATATCCTCCCGCCGCGTAAAACACTCTCCTCATCGATATTCCATTTGCGGTGTTCGCCGTCACGTTCGGCCACGCAGATGGTCCACGAGAGAAGGATCAGCTTCGTTGGCACGACCGCGTCGCACACCGGAAGTAGCACATTCGCCCCAGCAGTCCTTTACGAGCAAGTCGTCCAATTTTCCTATAATCCCCGGCCAGCTCCTTCCCCAGAGACCGGTCCGCGGCCTGATACACCGGTTGAAAACGAAACTCTCTGCCCTTATCGTTTCTGCTTACCCTGGAATCCCCAAGATCCGGTAATAATACATGAACACGGGGCGTATCACTCGACCAAGTCGCGGCAAACGAATCGAAATTTCCACCACCCTCCCTCCGACTGTATTTCTCACGCGCTCTTTAATGTACAACGTCCATCTCGAGTCGCTTCCATGGTACAATAACCTCTTCTCACCGATCGTTCGACGATCTTCCGGATATTCGGGGGACCGAGATCCGGGAATACGTGTCCGCCGCATAAATATTCCATCTCGTTGCGTCAAAGGCCACCTTTCGTTTGCGAAGAGCGACTTACCCGGATGTCGGATTTGCCACGAGACTGTCCCCGCTTCTCGCACCGAGGTTTCCGCGAGGAGATCACGCGTCCTTGGTGTATTTGACGAGGCAAACATCTCGAACTCGAGGGACCACGTTCGGATTTCGGCGAAATTAATTTTGCGACACGGCGAGAAAGTAAAACGATTTTCTATTCGCACTAGTCATAGGTCATAGATGATCGGAAGTATTTCGAGGCGGACTCTATTCCTTCTACGCGATTTTGCAGAAATTCGCTGCGAACCAAGACTCGTCGTCGAAGCGACGTTGCTCTGGAACGAAAAAGCAGCGAACCGCGGGAAGTATCGAGCGGGGGATGAAAAATAGTTGCGCGAAGGCAGCGGGAATCCAGGAATTCGCCCCCTGCCGCGGAAAACTCGAGAAAATCGTTCCTATTTCACTCGGAGCGCGCTTTGTCGATCGTTAAGGGCTCGATCATAGATCGCTAGCACCGCAAACGAAAATCGTATTACCGCGTATCAATTCGCGACATTACGGCCATGCCGCGGGTGTGCTCGTACACGCTCACAGGCGAAAGAGGTGTCTATGTGCTTCGGGGATGTATCGACAAAGCGAAATTTACGTCGCCCGGGGCGAGAGCCGCACTGATATATTATCGGTCCGCTTCGAGCTCGCTTTTGCATATTCATGCGTGCCTGCTGGACGAGGATGGAAAAACTACGGCGTCGCGAGGCGGAAGAGGGATGGAGGATGATGGAAACGGAGGAACAGGTGAACAGGCAAAGAGCCGCGATAAAGGAACGAAGAGGAAGGATGGAGAAGGAGGAAACTAGATGGAGAGAAATGCAGAGGGAAGGCAGTCACGAAGGACTTGGGCCAGAGTGTAGCGACGGAGGGTAGAGAATAGAGAGACGCATGGCGGAAAAATGCGGTGATTTCTGGGAGAAGGATAAAGAAGAATTTAGCGAAATGAAGAAAAATAGAGTGGAGGAAGGTAGGAGACGCGACGAGGAGGAACAGGAGGACGAGTGACAAGAGGGATGAGATACAGGGAGAAATATACGAGGTTTCGGACAGAGAAATAGGGACGGGACAATGGTTGACATGGAAATGGAAAAAATGCGCAGGAAAGGCGAGTGCAAAAGGAAGAGAGGGCACGAAACGAGGTGAACTTTCGTACGTGTCGCCAATAAGTTGCCGGTTTCGCAGACAAATCC